ACATAGGTTTTTCTGATTCTGTCTTGCATTCTACATTCTTAGTTAACAGTCTTCTATACAGTAGAACTTTCATCATTTGGACATCTTTGGTTAACTTCAGATACATTTCTTATAGAAAGTTTGGATACTGTTTAATTCTCTCCTTGTTTACCAATTTTGAAACCAGGAAGTAAATGTACCACCCATTTCAAATGAGAACTAACTCCTCTCTCTCTCTCTCTCTCTCTCTCTCTCTCTCTCTCTCTCTCTCTCTCTCTCTCTCTCTCTCTCTCGTGTGTGTGTGTGCGCGCGCGCGCGCGTGCGCGCATGTACGTGTCTGTCTCTCTCTTGTGTGTGTGTGTTTTTTAAAAAGGTTTTTGACTAATCCAAAAGCTGTTTCCAGCCTCTTCTTTGCCTGTTTCAAGTGTTCCTGGAAAGCCTTTTCTTTTCTAATGCAAAAGCAGACAAGGGAGGAGGGAGGAAGTCCCAGACACAGGACACACCATATCTCCTTTTGCCCTGCCTTCACTGCAGATGGAATGCCTGAACCCAGTGGGGAGTTGTATGGTAGTTTTGCATGCATCATCCAAGCCGAGCAGAAAATGTCATCCAGAATCTTTGCACGGTCCTAGGCTAGTGCTAGTCACAAGTGACATGTTACATGTGATCTGAAAAGCAGCAGAGAAGCAGCATCATGGTGTCCCTGCTCTAAAGAAAAAAATGCAAGGCTCTGGACATGTTGGTGGCTTTCACACACTCCCCGTGATTCTTGCTTTATAGGACATCGCCTGGACTTGAAGCTCCTCAGTCTCCATCAAGGATTTCTTCAAGTCTCAAGCCAAGCACATCTTTAGATCATCAAGCTTTCTCTACAGGATACTGATGCCACTAAGGCTGGAGGTAGTAAAGACACATACAGATTCAGTTTATCCTCAAAGGCTTCAGTCCTTCATGGGTTCCGGCTTATCTTCATAGTTCTGATCTGTTCTTGCCCTCCTCTCCGACTCTGACTGTCATTCTAGCTGGTTCTTAAAACAAGAACCAAATACAGCCACAAGCATTGTGCCCCCCACCTCACCCCCATCAATCCCCACCAGGTAGGACATAAGGCAGCACTGTCTAACTTCTGATATGAAAAAAGTATTTTATGTATCAGTTTCCCGGTAGGGAGTCACATATAGCTTGAAATGCATCCGGATTGACTAAATATACCTTTAATCAATTTAAATTTAAACTGTCATGTGGGTACTGGCTAGCATATCGAGCAAAGCAAGCTTTGTGCTGAACAGTGAATTCTGCTTTCGTTATTGCTAACAGTGGACCCATTTGTCTGGATGAATCTGGACTAGCCTAGGAAGCAATCTGCACCTTCAAGGGGAAGAGCCTGGCTACACAAGTCCAAAGTATGGGGAATGACCGGCTTGGAGGATAGGAAGCATCCATCAGCAGGCAGCCTACAAGAGAACAGATCCTCTGTGGGCTGTCACCAAAAACCAGTCATTAAACCCCATCTCTCCATTTTCCAGTGACTTCTGTTCCCTAGAGGGAAGTGATGTGACCCTTGTCTAGTTTCCTACAGGGCACGGATGATGTTCTTAGAACTCTCTTCAAAAAAAATTATTTAGACCCACACAGAAATCATGAAGTAAAGATTTGGTGTTTTGAAAGATGTAGATAATGTGATAGAACCATGCAAGCATCGCTGCTAGCTTCCTCCATGTAGTTCTTCTTTCCTTCATGGTTATCTTTGCCTCCTTTTGAAGGATGACCTACAGGAAGTATCTTGCCTTCCAAAGCCCTTGAGTTACAGATACATAAAGGAAAACTATGAATTTTAGATTTCAAGTAATAGGTATTAGTCAGAGTTCTTCAACAAAGTAGAATAAATAGTTTTTGTGTCTCTCTCTGCATATGTGTGTTCTGTATACACAACCATATGGTGCATAATGTTTTGGTCAGTAGTGTACTTCACACTTAAACTACAAAACTGCCTAGCAACAACCTTCTTAAACAGTATCCCCGCCTTTAATTTCCATGTAGCTCTCTATGTGGGACTACTTGTAAAGCTGATGTTGAAGTTGGAAGAGGTCTCAAAACTGAAGAGCAGAGGGTTCTGAGCTAGTCAGCCTGAAGGCCTGAGAATCAGGAACCAAAGTGCAGATCAATGCCCAGGATCAATCTGGGAACCAACCTTCCTCTGTGTTTCTAGTTCTGTTGAGCCACCAACAGACCAGATGAGGCCCACTCACACTGGAGCAGATATCTGCCTTAGTCAGTCCACAGACACGGATATTACCTTCTTTTAGAACACCTTCCCAGATACGGTCAGACTGTTTAATCAGCTCCTGGGCTCGCCATGCTTGGTTAAGTTGACATAACTTACTAATCGCATGGTGTTCCCCAAATACAATGGCCCCACAAACGGGAACTGAAAGTTAGCAAAGCTTTATGGCTCAATTCTAGAACTGAGGGCGTTAGTATGTTTTCTGTTAAGAAATTCTAGATCCTGGCTACACTGAACTTGTCCGGAGATGCTGATTCTACAGTCGGAGACAGGAAGAAGCCACTTTAAACTACAAGATGAGACTTTGGTTTCCTGGAACCAATCTGATGGCCCAGCTGAGGAAGCAGGGATGACAAACTAACCATCCAGCCAAGCTTCCGAACCGCCTAACACAGTAGAACTGACACCTCTCTCTGTCCAAATACTGGAGTCAAACAAACAAACAAAAATGGTTACTTGAGTATGTAGCAACTGAAAGCATGTAGGAATTGGTAACATATAAGCTCCCAAGAATTAGAAGACCCAGCTCTGGTCTTTTTCTTGTGACAATCCACCCATAAGTAGAGATTGCTCACTGAGACCCAAAGCCACCTGTGCTGTAGAACAACTTCCTTGCACCTGAGATCACGGAACTCCCTGCTTAAATCTTTGCCTTAAACTTATTTCCGGGCTTCATACTAGCTTTCTCCCCCAAGCTTTACCCAAGGCTGTCCCACATGCATGGGGTGTGTACCCTAGGGTCTGAGGGGCTATCTGTGAGGAAGGGATGTGAACAGAGCTTGGGCATCAGACACTAGACTGTCCACACGCCTCTTCGAGAATCTTCTCACAGTATACTGCTGAGTTGAGGTGAAGATTAGCAAGTTAAAGGCAGAGTTTGGGATGAGGATCTCGAATTGTTCTCTGGCATCCATTAAAGTCTGCGGAGTCCTGCCACCATGTACTCATCTAGCAGAAAGCTATAGACAAATATATAGAGATAGTGGAACAAGAGGTTGTAATGAAAACAGAAAGTATATAAAAAAGCATTTGGAAAATGAACAGTGAAAACACTGCAGTGGAATCATGCCAATTCTTCTCATCTGCCAGATCGCTTGGGATAAGATGGGACAAGATTGCAAAAAGGAATGGTCCCCTTTGGGTGGCTGGGTTGAGGATGCTACTGGCCTGCAGTTCACAGCCTGAAAGAAAACTAGATGAGTTTTGACACCCACTCCATCCATGCCCTACGAAGTTTAGCAATGGAGCGAACAGTCGATGTTGTGTGAAAATGAACCTGGAGGCTTTGCAAATAAATTCTGCTTGCCTTATTTCGCTAGAAAACCATCTCTCTGTACTCCAGTCCCCAGGCCAGAATCATGGTGGGCTAAGTCACAGGAAGCAAGGTATGCTCCTCAAGCAATCTTCTTCCCTTTGCTTTTTCTTTTTACCAGGCTCCTGTGTAAACCTTTCCCAAAGCAGTCTCTTTTCCCATGTGAAATATGCTTTTTCAAGTAGCATGTAATTACCTACATTGTCTGTCAAGCTGGATTTGAAAATTTCAAAACATCAGTGCAGTTTCACTACTCTGTAACTATGACAACAGATGCTAAGCAACTATTTGTGTTGGCTCCATTGTGAACTGGCCAATTACCAACACACTCCCAGGAATGAGTCTTTCCAATAGGCCCTCCTGGTTAACTGACCGTGAAAAGGTGAATGAATGGCTAAAAAGCCTATCAACAGTTTCTTCAAGATTGAGCTTGAGTAGAGAACATTTTGTGGCCACAAACATGACTCTAGGCGATTACAAAAACCGTTCCTGTTCTGTGTTGTTTTTTTTTTTTTTTTTTTTTTTTCGTTTTTCGAGACAGGGTTTCTCTGTGTAGCTTTGTGCCTCTCCTGGAACTCACTTGGTAGCCCAGGCTGGCCTCGAACTCACAGAGATCCGCCTGGCTCTGCCTCCCGAGTGCTGGGATTAAAGGCGTGCGCTACCACTGCCCGGCTCTGTTCTGTGTTGTTAAGGTTGCTTGAGCAAGTTGTCATTTGTTATAGTGTTGGCATAGGAAAAAATGAAATGTTGATAACTGAATCAAAACAACTAACTGTACAACAGGCAGCTCGGTGATGTACATAGTCCCACTCTTTCGATGGACAGGCTTGCTTTCACTTCCAATTTTTGTCTCACTCACCCTTGTTGAGTGTCTTCTTGGGAATGTTTTTAAAAAACGCCAAACAATAACCTTTCTCATACTGTTCTTACTTCAAGTTGTCTTGAAGTCTTAGTTCCTCTGTTCTCTGCATCTCACAGGACTGGGTCCTCCTAACTTCAGTTTGCTGAGTTGGTTTGCTTTCCTGTTAGCTCAGCCTTACTCCCCTGCTCTGGTTCCCAGCCATCTGCTAGGGCTAAAGGCTTCAGAGCTGAAGTCAGACGACCCTGCAACTTCCCCGGGTACTCCGCAGGGAATGTCGACCCTACAGGCCGCCTCAGGGTGGACGCTAGGACCTCCTTCTAGAGCCCAGCTAGTGTGTCTCGCCTTGTCCCGGCAGCAGCTCGCAGACAATGAAAGTTGCTCGCCTGGAAGCCACTACAGGACCCGCCCCCGGACTGTGCGGACCGGGGTGGGGGTGGGGGTGGGGGCTGCTCCTCTATGCTGGCGCCAGCAGCTAGAGCGGGTGAGGCGCAGGAGCCTCCAGGGTGACCTGATGCTTCAGGGAAGTGGCCGCTGGGCGCGCAGACGGGAGACCCGGACGAGGCTGCCCTCGGCGCGAGCCGGGGGCCCGGAAGGGAGCTCTGGATTTTGGTCCCTCCCCTTTTCCCTTCTGTGTCTTGGAGCACTGGGGCGCTCAGACCCTCCTGCGGTCAGGTACCAGCCTGGAGGAGAGCGCATCTCTCCTCCAAGCCCTCCACCATGGGCAATGCCTCCAATGACTCCGGGTGGGTGGAGGACTGCGAAAATCGTCAGTTGCTCCCCTCGGGCGAAAGTCCAGCCATCAGCTCGGTGATGTTCTCAGCCGGGGTTCTGGGGAACCTTATTGCGCTGGCGCTGCTGGCGCGCCGTTGGCGCGGGGACACGGGGTGCAGTGCGGGTAGCAGGACCTCTATCTCCTTGTTCCACGTGCTGGTGACAGAGCTGGTGCTCACCGACCTTCTGGGGACCTGCCTCATCAGCCCGGTTGTGCTGGCTTCCTATGCGAAGAACCAGACCCTGGTGGCCCTGGCTCCTGAGAGCCGCGTGTGCACCTATTTCGCCTTCACTATGACCTTCTTCAGTCTGGCCACGATGCTCATGCTCTTTGCCATGGCCCTGGAGCGCTACCTCTCCATCGGGCACCCTTACTTCTACCGGCGCCGCTTCTCGCGCCGTGGGGGCCTGGCGGTCCTGCCCGCCATCTACGCGGTCTCCTTGCTCTTCTGCTCCCTGCCGTTGCTCAACTACGGGGAGTACGTCCAGTACTGCCCCGGGTCTTGGTGCTTTATCCGGCACGGGCGGACTGCATACCTGCAGCTGTACGCCACGGTGCTGCTGCTGCTCATCTTGGCGGTGCTCGCCTGCAACTTCAGCGTCATCCTTAACCTCATCCGCATGCACCGTCGGGGCAGAAGAAGCCGCTGTGGATCATCTGGCAGTGGCCTGGGTGGCCCTGGGTCGCGCAGGAGAGGAGAAAGGACTTCAATGGCGGAGGAGGCGGACCACCTCATTCTCCTGGCCATTATGACCATCACCTTCGCCATCTGCTCCTTACCTTTCACAGTAAGTCACTCGTTTGTTTCCACAGCCCAGCCACACGCAGCTTTTCTCAAACTCCTTTCTCCCCACCCTTTCCACCTCCAGGCACACATTGGCAACTTGAAAAAAAAAAAAAAAACGCCCTAATTTATAAAGGTCTATTGCGTTCGCTGCTTTTCCTTTTCACCTTTACCCACTTCCTTCCGCCCCCAGCCTTTGCGCATGAACAACGTTGCTAAGTTAGCACTTCTATGCCCTACAGGAACCTTCTCCATGGTCCCTTCCCTGGGTTGGTGGGGAACTCAAGACGAGGGAGTCCCTTCCAGGTTAGGACGGTTGTTGCTGTTAAAATCTGACCACTGGAGCCCAGTTTGCTGGCCTTGGCCTTGAGGCCTCTTCCCTTGGTGCTTTCGTTTCTCCTGGGCAAAACGTAGTTGCTGACCCACAGCATTCAGAGGGCCCTTGATGTAGAAGTTTACAGACGCTTTCATTTGACTTTAGGGATTTTAAGTTCAAAAATCTAGTTGACGGGCTCACCAGTTTACATATTAGAGTACCAGTCTGTGTGGTCACGAAAATGAGAGGAAAGGACCAATTGTTGCATAGTGCTTTTGGCATCCCTCACAGGAGACCCTTGTAACCCCTTACAAAATATTCTCTTGATGTCACTGTCAGGAATACACATACCCTCCATTCTGTAGCTGTGCACTTCATGAGCGCAAAGACACACCTAACAAGAGCTGGTTCATCTCAGGGAAGGGGAGAAAAGGCTGCCCCGGGAATGGAGGCAGGGCCAGCTTAGAAGCATGGGCGCTTCCCAGTTAGAGGGACCATTAGCTCTAAATAAACTAGTTCTAAAATAGATCCTGAGTTCCTAACGTCTAATGGGAGGCAGAGTCAAAGTTGGAGCCTTCTGGCCGCTCACGGATTGCTGTGAACTGGGGATTTGGAAAAGGGTGATATGGACGGTGGCTAACCCAAGAGACCTCACTTGTAGACGATGTAGAAATAGCTCTTTCCTGTCTCCTGTCCTCATCAAGGCTTCTGATTGGTGTCATCTACTCATCCTCCGGCACAGAAAGAGATTCACATACAGACCCCATTCCCAAGGAACCCCTCCCTCCACTTCTCAGCCATGTTATCTTGACTCTGCTCCCTATTACCCTCACACTTGTACCTCCCCTCTGTCATGGGAGAAAATAGTCTGAATTGGTAAGTCATACTTAGCAGGAAATGAGATGGAGCTGGTCAAGGCTCCCTCTTAAATAATGAATTGGCCTGTGGAAGGTGGCATCTCCGTAGGCACCCCAGCAGGAGAGTTTGTGTTGTGGAATGTTGTGGTTTAGAAACCAACACGGCACCTATGCTTTAGCTTTAAGGGCAGAGTATTTTGTGTTTGGGGTCATTTTTACTCAGAATAGCAAGAACTGTTTTCTATGTTCCTCAAAAGTGTGTCAGACCGCTAATCAGCAAGGAGTAGCATTCACAGCCAGAGCTGGTGGGACCCCAGTCAGTTCCTCAGCTCTCTGGCAGTGGAGGAATATGGGACTCAGGAATTCCAGAATTCGTAATGAACAGTTAATGCCAGCCATCGCCTCAGGTTATGAGCAGAGTGGAATTCTTCCTTCTAGGATGTCAGTCTTGGGCCTCCAAAGTTCAGGAAATAAAACTCTCGAAATGGGAGGGAAAAAGCCCAGTACACTGAGATAATGTCAGTTCAGCTTCATGTATCCTTACTGTGACACCGGAAAGACATAGGACTCTGGGTGTGAATTTCTACATCAATTCATTGTCTTCCCAGTAACCTCCAAGATGCATCCTACTGTGCAGATGAGTGGAGTAACTTCCTCCTGGGCTTCCGGTCACAGAGTTGCAATAGAAAGTACCAAGCACTGAGTCCATCAAGTGTTAATAGCAAAAATGTCCAAAAGAAAGCCTCATATAAGAGTTACGTGGGAGAAGATCCAGCTCTGGTTTCACAAGAGAATTGTGAACGTATTGTAAATAGCTGGACCACCTTGTCTCTTCATTCCAACTTAATAGCTTTAAAAATAAGACAGCGAGGACTTTCTTCTCCATGTTAGCGCCAACTATGTTTTTCATTTTCCTTCTCCACAGTCCTGTGAAATGCAAGCCCGAGACTGAGATTTTAGGAGATTGGCTAGGGTAAATGCTAGTCTAAATTAAGAAATAATCAGATTACCCCTCACATAAAACCTTCTTTTCATGTCCATAAAACTTTTCCTTAGTGATTAAAAAAAGCATGTGGTGTTTAGGAAATGGCATTACTTTGGCTGTCCAATATGAAACCATGCATAAGACCAACAACATATTCCAAACTGTTTATCCACTAAATGAGTATTGTATAAATTAATAAATTCCTCCTTATGTTAATCAGCTGTTGTCATCATTTCACAGTGATAAATAGAAGCTGTTTTTCTTCCCGAAATGGAACAGAGCACAGGAAACATATGAGCCTTTCATTCCTGTCTCAAATACTGTTTGTGTCTCAATTTCCAGCCCACACCCAGCTACTTTCTCAGCACTTTGCTAATTGTGGTTAGCTTCTGGTCATTTTAAACTGTTTTCCACATGCCATTAGGATAAAGTGCTTATGCATTTTGTTCAGTTCTGAAATTTCAAGACCCTACCATTGGCTCACCCTAAAAATATCTTCATCTTTACAAATTCTCCAGGGTTAGAATTTCTAGGTAAATCTGATTAGTGGAAATCTGATCTTTGCACCATAGAAAAAAATCAAAGCAAACAACCCTGGAGTTTCCCATTCATTCCTGGTATTCCTTGTGTAAAATGTCATGTCAAAAAGTGGTGAAGTTCTGGTTTGAAATTAGCCAATCACAAAGATATAAACTATAAAAATTCAGGTAGCTGTGAAAGAGAAATCTAGACATCGCTGGTGCCCACAGAGAACTTAGTGTGGCAATATGTGAGTGAATGCTCACCCACAGCTGAAATCTCTTTATCATTGAGACATCATTAGTGAAGTGTTTGACTATTGTTGGGACCGTTTAAATACACATCTCCTTTTAAGAGAACGTTCCTCTGTGTGAGTGATTTCATTTGACATCTTCTGCTCTACTGATTTGCTATTCTGCAGTGGTGACTGTAAATATAGACAGTTATGATGGTTTTTAAAATGTAGTCTGTACGAAGCATCACCTTTTTCACAACCGAGAGTTAGAGTTTTATATCCACACCTTCAGCTAGGTGGATCTTCACTGTTATTTCAGGCCAGGATTTCAGCTTAAAAAATATATATATATATCACAGCTTTTTGAGATCGCTTCCTTCTTCTTTGGCATATCAACAGCCCATCACAGTATGAACTTAAAAACAAATAGATACCGTCATTTAAGAATGCAGTCAGCAGATATTTTCCCAGGTGGAGGCTTAACTCTCAGTTAATCTACAACTTGCTCTGTTCGCTTGGCCTCTCCTGTCCCCTGTTTTGAATTTCTGACCACCACTTCCCATCCAGGTCTTCACCCCAAGTCTGCTGCACCTCAGCTCACATCACTGGGGTGTACTAAGCCCCATTTCTCTGACAGCATTTTGCCACCTAAAACTGTTCCCTAAACTGAAAGCAGGGTTAAGTACTCTGAAACTAGGGCACGTGTATAATATGAAGGGTCAGAGAAAGAGCATTTAGGGAAGGCTGAAACTTCCTGTGGACAAGGGGTGTTGATTTCTGCTCTGTGGGTAGTACGTGTGTTACTGTCTGGGGCCTTGGCTGAGTGTGTCTTCTCTGACAGAAATTAGAGGGCAGGGAGAATCTCAGTGTAACGGTGATCTTCAGTGTGGCAGCAGGGAAAGTCTCAGACACAGCAGACAGAATCAGCAGGTAAAGAACGGCATTTATTAGGGAAACACACACAGAGAGCAGATACACAGAGAGACAAGGCAGAGGTGAGCCGGGAAAGCTGAAGCCCCACCTCTCCAGAAGGCTGGGTTTAAGGGTCTGTGAGGAGTCTTCCTCCCCCAGGTTAGTGTTGGTCAGTCTGGACAAAGACAGGAAGGCTGACAGCTCCACAAGTTCGAGGTAAACATGTCCTGATCCAGCCTTGAACTTGTCTTGCTGGTCCATCAGTGAGGGTAGGGTAGTGGGGGTAGGTAGGGTAGCATGGGATGGAGGGGGGAAAACTGGAGGGAGAAGAAGACAGATCTTAAAGGTCTTTGTCTTCAGTCAGGTATATGAAGAAAAAGCTGGAAGTTTGCCAACTTTGGTATCTGTTTGTGGCTCCTCTCCCTATCTGTCTGCCTATCAGAGATCTGACTGACTCCCTCCTAGCCTTTCACACGGGTCACTCCAAAGCCATCTGTGAAATATGTTTAGGGGACTCCTGGGTGGATGAATCACACTGTCCATCATTTCCCCAGAGCCACTGTCCTGGGCTGTATCTACTCGGTCATCACTGCAGTTCCAAGACACACAGTGCCAAGGCCACACTCATGCTAGAGCCATACCGACGCTCCAGTTTTTTCTTATGAAGTAAAGTAGGCTGCAGTTTCCATGTGCCACAGACATGTTTGGGGAGAAAGGGCTTTTTTAAAGCATGCCTCACCACCACCACCATCACAACAACAACAACAACAAATTAAGAATTAACTGGGCAAAGCCTGTGGCTATGACACCACACCATCTTACAGAAGGCGGATGAACACAGTGAGTGCTGCCTGCCAGTTCGCTGTTGGTCAGTACTGATGATGAAGAAGTCCCAGGAAGAGCCAAACAGCTGCTTTAAAAAGGGGCCACAGTTTTTTCATCTCTAAACAGAAGAGCGATAGCCACAGGCCTTCATGACACCCTTAAACAGAAGTGTCTGCATATCTCTAGTTCAGGTAGTCGCTTGTGAATCTCACAGGAAGCTTTACGTCAAAGGCTCTGTGTACATGGCTCAGGATACTGCCTGACATTGAAGTTGGAGCCCCACCACTGCGGTTTGACTCCTTAGGCAAGGTAACCAGTCTTTTAAGCCTTGGCTTCCTTTGTCTCTGAAATGAGCCTGCACTCCGGGAGGGAGGGGGAGGTTGTCAGACCCCCTGAAGTCCATGTCTTAGCCAAGACTGAACATGTCAAAGAAGCCAGGCAAGTGAATGTTTTAAATCTCCCCTCATGATTTCACTGATAAGCCAAATGAAGTACTCATTCACTCTAGAATTCTGAACCCACTTTGTATGGGATTAAAGATAGGAGAATAGTTTAAATGATAACCCCTGGCCACTGCCAAGATGAAGCTTACCATGGGCAGCTGCCTCAGACATGGCTGAAACAGCAGATTCCTGTCTGTCACTCGATACGATGTATCACAGCTCTGTAGTCTTTGCAAAACCTAGGGTGGGGAGGTCAAGAAGTTAACTCACTGGATGTATTAGACTAGCACCTGACATTTTTCTCACAGCAAGTATATTAGTAGTATATGCCAGAAGGCACAACCTCTGAATTTAAATTTTAGGATGTCACCAATCCATCACTCATGAATTCCCATGTCTCCCACATGTCAGCTGTTTGTTAAGAACTGAGGGTCAGCCATAGAGAGGGAGGAAGTGCGGCTGCATGGAGGTCCACACTCAGTTTGGAGGCAGGTGATAGTAATAGGACTTTTTTTTTTCTTTTACATTAAGATCAGTCAAGTACATTTCCAAGGGGAGATTCATGAGAAATCCAGGCAGGGCCAGTGCACGGGTCAGGATGCAGAAGAGGAAGACGGGTGGCAGAGTCTGAGCTGTGGTCTCTCTTGGGGTTTCTGCAGGAAAGGCATGTCAAGGTGAAAGGATTGGGATTGGCAAACCTGGATAATTATGGCAGACTGTCAGCTACAGGGCAGTCCTTAGCCGCCTGGTCACAAGACCCTGGATCATTAAGGAGAAGAACATTACTATGGGTTATGGGGTCTAGAGAAGAGGTATATCTCAGGACTTCTTAGTAATGTAGCAAAGACGTACTCCCTATGGAGCCCTTTATTGGTTGCAATAATTAGCCATCCCAAGGAGGGGCAGTCTCTCCCCAGCTAGAGACTTTTAGACATCTAAACCTCATAAAAGGGTTGGGAATGTAGCTCAGTGGTAGAATGCTTGCCAAGCATATGTGAGGCCCTCAGTTCAAGTGCCAACACCATAAAGAAAAAAAACTCACATCATAAAGTATCATGATATGTCAAAGTTATAACTGTAATAGTTACATGACAGTGTTGAATGTTCTTAGTACTGCTAAATTGTGCACTTGAAAGTGCTAAAAACGGTACGTTTTATGTTATGTGGATTTCACCACAACTTAAAAAAGACATTGACTCCATAATAATGCATAAGACCAAAGGTGGTATTCCAGCCAGAAGAGAAGAGACGAGCTGCCGGGGAGATGGAGACAGAAGACGGAGCCTACATCAAGGGAAGGTGCCCGAAGTTGGCCTCTCTTCTAAATGCAAAACAATTGAGCCGTCTCCTACAGAGTACTGGCTACCTTCTGAAAGGCACATTGGAAGCACTTCTAAAGCTCACCCACCATCACGCATGAAAAGAAAAAGCAGCGGCCCAGAATTGCTCCATCCTTAAAGCAGCTCTCGCGTCTCATTATCTTATCACACTCTACAAGATCAGCAGCTATGACGCAGGTTAGTCTGCGCTGAAAACCTGACTCATCTTCATGAGTGGCGCTGGAGAGGACGGTGCTCAAGCCTGTCCATGCTGCTTGCGTGCCCCACTCAGCATTACTGTGTTCACTACGAAACTAAATCAGAGACAGCTATGAGGTTCTCTACAACAGAGTGCTCTTATTTGTGTATGCTGTGTGTGTGTGTGTGTGTGTGTGTGTGTGTGTGTGATATATTTTAATCTATCAGAATTATGTACACTATTACTGAGTTTCTCCCTCCATGCTGACCTCTTGAACACGTCATACTGAATATTTTGCATGCAGAGTCGTGTGGCAGGCTAGAAAACTTCTGCCCCGTTGCATACCCCACCTAACTCTTCTCTCTGAGGTCTGAGAAGCCCACCATCAATTCTTCTTTTTCCTTACTCATCTGCCAACTCTTTTCTCCATTCCTCATGCCAAGATTCTCTGGCATAAACACCTCTGGCTGCCAAACCTTCCCGCTATTGTCCTAACATAAGCAACCCGAAGACGACTGCTTTTCTCTCTCCCTATAATTTGTTTGGTACATCCAGTTCCCAGATGCTGTAGAGTAAGTACCAGGGGAAAAGGAAGGAATGAGTTATTTTGGGAAAAGGGTGTCAGGGAAGAAGTGGATGACTTCCCTAAGTCACAGACTAGGCCAGAGGATCCCTGGAGCATGAAGAATGCATGTGTTAGATGATGAGGTGTGATCCACATTTGATCTCCTCCTCTCTGTAGGCTGGAATGAAGAGGTATGGCTACCAAACAGGTACTGTTCCTTGCCGGTCTTACCAAACTGCTGCATTAAGGCAGAAGAGAGCACCAATACTGGTTTGAAAATGCTGATCCCCGTATAAGAATGTGTCTGTCCACTTCCCAGCTTTTTTTTTGGACATCATTCTGAAGGCCCCTGCTGTAACACTGACCTGGATGTAACACGTACTCAAGTACTGCACCAGCACCAGAAGTCTTGGGTTTGTACCCTAACTAGGCCACCAAACAGCCTTAGGTCCATGGTGAGTGACCTAACTCCTCGGTGCCTCTGTGTTGTCACCGGTGAAGTGGGGTCACAACTCACTCACTCTGTGGAGCACTATTACAGAAGCACCGTTGAAGCAGCTAATGTGTTGCTTCCAACGACCCTGTGAAGTAGATGTGATGTCACCCTTACAGGCTCACAGTTTCTTGTCCACGATACCAAAGTTACACATTAGAGTTAAATTCAAGCTGTAATAGTGTAGTACCCAGACCCAGCACTCAGTTGCTTTCTCTTGCTGAATCATGAATCATGATGGTTGAGTCAGGCCAGATATTAGGAAACGTAACATGTTATTCCCAAAGCTTACTTCCTCATCTGTTACAGTTTCAGTAGGATTAGGAAGAAAGCAGGTTCATGACCCGGAGTACTTCACAACACATATAATGGGCTACTGATAAAATTGAGCTAATAGGCCGGGCGGTGGTGGCGCACGCCTTTAATCCCAGCACTCGGGAGGCAGAGCCAGGCGGATCTCTGTGAGTTCGAGGCCAGCCTGGACTACCAAGTGAGTTCCAGGAAAGGCGCAAAGCTACACAGAGAAACCCTGTCTCGAAAAACCAAAAAAAAAAAAAAAAAAAAAAAAAAAATTGAGCTAATAAATATTATTATCATTACTTACTGATATTATTAAAATATTCTATTTGGCAAAGCACAGTGGCTCCCACCTGTAATCCTACCTAGGAGGTTATAGGCAGATCATGCGGTTTAGGTCAGTTTGGGCTATCTAATGAGACTATCTGAAGGGAAAATAGATTCTATTCTAGGTGCCTAGAAAAGTTTGTTCCCTTCATTTCCAATGACAAGACTAGAAAGTTTTGTGTGATTATAACCCTTAGGGTACTTGGGGGTTTTTTGTTTGTTTGTTTTTTGGTTTGGTTTTTGTTTGTTTGGTTAGTTGGTTGGTTTTGTTGTTGTTGTTTTGTTTCTTTGTTTTTCAAAACAGGGTTTCTCTGTGTAGCTTTGGTGCCTGTCCTGCAGCTCACTCTGTAGACCAGGCTGGCCTCGAACTGACAGAGATCCACCTGGCTCTGACTCCTGAGTGCTGGGATTAAAGGTGTGCGCCACCACCACCGCCGCCGGGCTAGAGTATTTCTTTTAAGTTCACAGAAAAATGATTGTTATGATTTATGGAGGAGACTTTTGCCACCCACCCTTTCGCTGCCCACTACCACACAAAACAAGGCTAGACCTCAAGGGACAACGGGATCCAAGCCAGCTTGCCTACAATGTAGAACTAACACCATTTTCCTCTCTTCTTCTTTCAGATCTTTGCTTATATGAATGAAACCTCTTCCCGAAAGGAAAAGTGGGACCTCCAAGCTCTTAGATTTTTATCAATTAACTCTATAATTGACCCTTGGGTCTTTGCCATCCTTAGGCCACCGGTCCTGAGACTAATGCGTTCAGTCCTCTGTTGTCGGACTTCATTGAGAACACAAGAAGCTTCACGAACTTCCTGTTCTACCCAGCCCAGTGCCAGTAAACAGACTGACCTTTGTAGACAGTTGTGAGGACGCCACTTCAAGAGGGAGCCTCAGCAAACGCCTTTAAACGGCTTTGTTGGAGAAACGTTAAGAGCTGGCATATAAACAAAATGAAGCTGCCCTGATGAAGCCGTGGTTTGACTGTAGATCTGATGACAAATCTTTGTGGAAGTCCCCCGAAGGATGTCTAGAGCTCACCTTATGTGGCCTTTGAAGGACAAGCAGCTGCGTCTGAGACCCGCTTGATTTAAGCTTTCCTGCTGAATGACAAAGCATGTGGTTTTGTAATTTGTTTAAAACTCTGCGTGGTGACTGTCTCCTGTTTTAGATTTCGATGCCACTGCTGTTACAAATGCAGAGTGCAGTCAGGCCGAATGAAAACTCATTCTCTAGGAAGTCAATTCGTGCAAGCGATGAAGCAACCGAGGCGGACAAGTGGTTGTCTTGTGACTACTTAACGGACTCTTTATTTGGACCGTGAAGTTGGAAGTCACCGGTCCCTTTTACTGTAACGCTGTAACGTTTGTGTGGGGGTGAGTCCTCTCCAGTCACTCTGTGCCCCCCTGAGAGGGCGGCACTGATTTGGTTAGTGGCGGTTTGGTTCACCCTTCCCTTAGGAGCCTTGTCCTGTTGGGTTATTTATTCTGTTTGTCTATTGTGATGATGCTACTGAAGATGACTTCAGGAATTTCCTTCTCAAAAAGAAATAATTAAAAAAAAAAGAATTCTAATGAATGCTCTTCAGGTTTTTGTTGGGGAAATCTTTTTCACAGTTGTATCTGAGGCCAGATTTTAAGAATCAAAATCTGAAAAATCGAGTCCATTCTTCAAGTGCACTGGAATCCCTCTGGTGTTGCTACTAGGGATGTGACTAACACGCACATATACTTTACAAGATTGATTGTGTCACAGCAAATTCTTCTGTCTGTATTTTTATTTAAGGAACATACTTTGACTCATACTACAGAAGAAATCATGTAACTGTGAGTCATATCTTAATGTATTTCCAAACATTTGGCATGGTGTAAACTCAGCACTAAAGTATTTCAGTGAGCGTGTACATTTTAGTCAGAGTTATGGTGTAAACACATCTGAAACGCTACAAACTAAACTATAAAACAAAACACGGAAAAGTGGAAGGCTTCAGTTTGCAGTTAGTGTAGACATGGAATCTTTTAAGTGAAATGAAAGTGAAAAAAATCGAATTAATTTTTGGCAAGCTTTTAAAATGTGTGTTTGTCGTAAATTAAAGTTCTAAGATATTCAGTGGAGTTCTTGATATTCAAAGAGAGTTTTGCTTTCAGTTTTCTGTCTTCTAACATGGTCAATCGAATAATATAACTGCCTTATTTGAGAGTGACAAAATTGTAGGGTGGCTGTTATTTTTTAAAATTTAGTTGTTTCTCAGGTTTCATTGTTTACTCGATGCTGTTTTCTATAATTAGTTATCAAACCTGATGATCATTTAGAAAGACTCCAAATACCTAAGCATTTCTGATATAAATTATCTGTATCATCAGCTCTTATTTTTAAAAGAATAAATAAATGACTTGCATTTGTATAAATTTAAGCATGACAGGCAAAGTTTAACAACTAAAATCTAGACAGGTATAAATAAATACCTCCTCTCTACCCAGTGTTTCATGCCAAGAAATTACACCCAGGGGAAAACTGAGGCTGTGATCCTCAAGTATAAAAATTCCACTTATTTTGAATCTGGAATTTTGATTCCTTTTATCAGATGACTTCCTAAAATCTCAGAATGAAAAAATATTAACTATGGTCTCTCAGGCCACACTGTACCCCTGCACCCATTCCAGAGCAATGTCTGAGAATTCTTTAAAATAGACATATTACTGGAGGGAATAAAATGATACATTTGGGAGCTCACAATATCATAATTCAAGCCACTGAAATTATTTATGTATTACCATTATTATGCCCAATTTTGAGCACGGCGTGCATGCATTTTTTTTGCATGTTCACACACATACACACACACACATGCATGAGTATGCACCTCTGTGTGTGTGTGTGTGTGTGTGTGTGTGTGTGTGTGTGTGTGTGTGTGTGTGTGTAAGCCCACAGGTTGTTGGGAATCATCCTTCACGTCTTCTACCTTATTCATTGAGGTAAGATCTTTCAATCAAACGAAGAGCTCACCAATATGGCCAGTCTAGCTAGACAGCTTGCTCTGGAAGTCCTCTGTCTCTACGAGACCAGAAATTATGTGGGTTCTGGGGATCCAAATTCTAATCTTCATGTTTGTGCGGAAGGGCTTTAACCACTGAGCTATCTCCTCAGTTCTGTCAACTCGTTTATTTAAGAACTAGTCAGTCTCCAGGATCCCATCCCTTGTGTGCTTCTGTCCCTTGCACATTGGTGACTAAGTTCTGTTGCTTCAATTGCACCAGTTTATACATAGAAGAAACAGAATGCCAAAACTTTATCTAACAATTACCTATTGTGCATGACGTCTCAAAGGCAACTTAGAAAACAATACTGCCTAGAAGGTATGCAACAATTTCCTCTTTAGAGACCCTATCCCACCAGCCATGCTTGTTCCGGTTACTGACTCATTTTCCAGGTAGATGAGAGAAAGATCACAGGGTTGAATTTGAGAAAAGAAAATCTGGTTTTGTTTTTGGCTTCCAACTGTCACTGGCGTGAAAAGGGACAAAAATGTCAAGTGAATATTCACCCGAGGATGCCAGCCTTGTGAAGGTGTCCTGGAATGGAACCAAGTGGTCTGTTCTGTGCTGGGCTGTTTCAAGGTGATCCATTGTGACCCTGGTCATCTTTCCAAGAAAGATCTGGGAAATGCTGCTGTTCAATTGGAGCCTTTGCTTTCCAGAGATCAGATGGAGAACCAAGGTTGTTGTAAAGTCTGTAGAAGACACAAATGTCAAGAACTTTAGAGCCAAGATAACCTACACCAGCCCCATGCTCCAGAAACAACCACCTCAAACCACAGAACCAAGACAACCTAGAGCCAATGCTCTAGAAACTACCATCCCCAAACTGCCTGGGCTTGCACGGGTTTCAAGCAGGGGGGTCAATCCACCCCACCCCATGACCAGCATCTCTTGTTAAACTTCAACACTCTCCTCCCCAGCACCAGTACACTTTTCAGGAGTGGTGGGGGTGTTGTCCTAATGCTGGAGTCAGGACAGCTCTGATTTGGACTCAGACTAAGAAAAACAACACGCTTAGAATTTGACAGCTTTGAAAGGCAGAGGAGAACAATTCGCTCTCACTTGGGACAAGGTTTGTTTATTTCACTTAGCTTAAGCCAGACCTAATGGTTTTCCAGACTTGGGAAGGACTCCTACTTGGGCCACTCACAGAGATGCATTTCCCTCTGCAAAAGAACATTTCTCCACGCAGGGTCATGAGCCTGTGCTTCTCAGTGGGAGGGTTTAGTGAAGTTCATCCCTTCACTGTATGTCTTCTCTGTGTGCATTCTTGACGTAGCGCCAATCACTCAACAGCATTACAACAGACTTTGTAACTTAAGAAACATTTCATCAGTGGGGTATGGTGACACATGTCTTTAACCCCAACACTCAGGAGGCAGAGGCAGGAGAATCTCTTTAAGGTCAGCTGGTCTAGATATTGAATTCTAGGCCAACCAGGGCTACATAGTGAGACCCTATCTTAAAAACAAACATCAAAACAAAAGGCATTTGATCACCCGAAAGACTACGGAAAGCAGTAGTAGTTTAGAAACTCACAAAAGCTACAATCCAATTTACACACAGCCGAGGTTCTCCTGTCAGGCACTGCTGTTTTCATAAAGTTCCTTTTTCATCCTGGAGACTTACATGATTTAAAAAACAATTGTAAATACCTTGTTGAATTGTGATCTTATGCACTGTGAAAGGCGCATGGTATTAAAGGTCAGTTTTAGTAATCCGATTCTGCAACTCAGGTATGTGACATGTGGAAATTTTGCAGAGTCAAGTGTAAGTCAGCGATGATTCAGGTAGGAAAGGATGACACACTCAGGGATAAAGGAGGGATGTCTAATGAGAGGAATATTTACCGAGGGGTGGGCAGGGTGAAGGGATGAGTGGAGGGGGCCTTGGAAACTGTTCTTCCTCCTATGCCTTCAGTAACAAGGGAGGGAGCAGTCACTGGGATCCAGTGAGAGATGCAGAAGACACCGTCCTTTAGAGCCATGTGGATGGATACTGCGGTAGAGATGCAGTGAGAGATGCAGAAGACGCAGTCCTCCGGAGCCATGTGGATGGCTACTGCAGGAGAGATGCAGTGAGAGATGCAGAAGACGCAGTCCTCCGGAGCCATGTGGATGGCTACTGCCGTAGAGATGCAGTGAGAGATGCAGAAGATGCAGTCCTCCAGAGCCATGTGGATGGCTACTGCCGTAGAGATGCAGTGAGAGATGCAGAAGACGCAGTCCTCCGGAGCCATGGCTCGGAAAGGGAAAACAGCTACTGCCCAGCCACAGACGGGAAGGAGTTCCTCTGCCCCTCGCTCCCATCAGGCAAATCTAGTTGTTGTAGTTAGTCTACAATACAAGAGGACCTGGGCTGTCTACCCATGAGCGCTAAATCTAGAGGGTAAAATGAAAGGCAGCCAACATGAGCAGATCCACAATTTGTGTTGGGTAGTTCTGCTTGTCATCTTGCACTCCAAATGGATACCCTTTAGCAAGTGTGGGAAACAGAGATCTGCCCCATTTGCATGGAAAGGGTTAAGATACCATAGATCTCCTTTCCAAAATACTTGCCCTAGACTCTGTGTACTGGTTTAGAATTGAAGTCGTATTTTGAGAAGGATCACTGGGAAAAGAAAAACCTAACTGTGGGCAGGCCCTGCCAACCAAACCACAAGTCGGATAGGTCCACACTGCCATATAAAGAGCATACAAAACAATTCAGCGACCTCTAAACACTAATAAGCACCACAGGGAAAGTGGCACAGAGGGGCACACCTATAATCCCATTCCTAGAGAGGCTGGAGTCCGAAGAAAGTGGATTTGAAACCAGACTGGTCTCCAAAAAAAAAAAGTGAAGAATGGAGTCAGGGAGGGGGTGGACAGGGAGAAGATTTTAACAATGTAGAAAAAAAAAAAGAAGCACAGGATCCAGGAGCAGCTGCCAGTGGCTGGTCCTGCTCCACGGGGTTTGTCTTTGCTCCTTTACTCATCCCCTTTTCTCTTCCCACTTTTGTGACAGAGTCTCACTACGTAGCCCAGGCTATCTTCAAACTCAAGGTCCTCCTGCCCCACCTTCCAGAATGCTGAGATCCAGGCATGTACCACCACACTCAGCCCCCTTCTTTCTTTGGTGCACACACTCAGCACACACTCCTTTCTTTGGTGCACACCCTCAGCTCACACTTCTTTCTTTGGTGCACACCCTCAGCACACACTTCTTTCTTTGGTGCACACACTCAGCGTTCAAGCTCTAGTAGAGCTGTAGATGTTTTTTCAGACTCCCCAAGTTTTCCCAGACAAGTTATTTCATTGCTCAGAGTTCCCATTTTCTCATCTCTAAATGGGGATAGCCTCATCTATCTGTCAATTTTTCAGGTCACCAGGACATTTAGCACTCTGCCTGGACACAGTAAATGCTGAGTAGTTTAGGACCTGTGTTTTCCTGGATGCCCAGTTTAGAGGGCGTTCTGACTTCACGCACACCTGGCTCCACTTTCTGATACTTGGACGTGGTGGTGATGGCTGGAGTGATTCTGCACTTATTCCTCTATCAGGTAACAATCAAGAATTGTGTGAGTTCTGATACGTGGACTCCTGGCTTAACCTTAACATTGTGTTTCTACAGATGCCACCCAAGTTTCCTTGGAACCCTCAACAAGTAAAAGAAGCATGAGCACCCCAGTTTGCAGAGTGGGAAGCTAGGTGCGCAGGGTTAGCTGAGAAGGCTATTAAGGGTGTTCTAGTTAGAATTACCGTTGCTACAATGAAACACCATGACCAAAAGCAAAGTGTTCATCACTGAAGGAAGTCAGAACAGGAACTCAAACAGGACAGGAACCTGGAGGCAGGAGCTGACACAAAGGCCATGGAGGGGTGCTGCTCACTGGCTTCCTCCCCATGGCTTGCTCAGTCTGCTTTCTTATAGACCTGAGGACCACCAGGCCGGGGTGGCACCATTCACAGGGGGCTGAGGCCTCCCCCATCAATCACTAATTAAGAAAATATCCTACAGGCTTGCCTACAGCTGGATCTTACGGAGGCATTTTCTTGAGGTTCCCTCCTCCCTGATGACTTTATCATGTATCAAGGTGACATGAAACTAGCCAGCCCACAGGGTATCCTTTAAGTTGCCCCCATGATTATGGTTCTGATCAAAACTCTAATCTGCAACCACATGACCACCTGTATTTTTT